CTGCAGGCGCTGGGCTGCCTATCCTCGCCGTAGGACGCGGAAGCGCCCGCAAGAAGACGGGTAGGCAACCCGCTGCGCTCACGTGAGCTGCAAAGTGAGGCGCGATGCGGCGGGGAGGAAGCTGAAGAGTTAGGTGAACCTGCCTTACAGGCATGACAAAAACTCACCTGACAAGCTGTAAATTGCAGTGCGGCGCCCAGTCTTATCAATACCGTTAAAGTGCAATCCCTCTGCCAGAGCCGCCTGTGAGCGTGAATCACCACGGCTTTTTATCGCAACGACGCGAAGCCATCGCAGTGTTCGCCCAGACGACGACGAGGACGACTCGCCATTAAGGTTTTGTCTCCTTCGGGGGTGTCGGAGTGAAGGCATCTGCTACTGGCTTGCTGGAGCTGGGGCGGCTCTTCCCTGCAGATAGCAGTGCCGAGATACGAGCAACTTTTCGCCTCCCGCTACTGGGGTGGGCTTCGCTTCCGTCAGCGAGGCGAAACCTGGGAGACATCGCATCCTTAGATCAATAGCAAAGTTTAGCAACTTCTGTGATGAAAACAAGGTCTTGGTTATTTAAAGGCGGCGCAGGTGATAACATCTCAACTCTGCTGCGTGTTCCCGCCGACCACAAGTACTTTTTGCGAGTTACGTCATGTCGTCTTTATGTCGTTATCTCATAGTTACGACGCCAGCCGCAGCTGCCCTTTTTTTGGTGTGTGTATAAGGGGGGGCATTCTTTCGTTACTGGCGAAGAATCACCAGCTTTGTTAGTCATTTCGCTTGGTATTATTTCCAGTTTGACCATGATCAATTCAACGCGTTTTTTTTTTTTTACTTCTTTTTAATGAAAGAATGGAAAGAAAGTGAGGGCGCGCTCTTTGTTGTTTCCTTCTGCAGTTCGTGATCGGCGCTGATGGAAGCAATAGCAGCGCTCTCCACCCCGCTCGCCGCCCCGCGCACCGTACGCGCGATCACTTCCGAGTCATAAAACAGACGTCGTCTGCTCCCCGTGCCTGCACACGCGCAGCCCGGCTGATCCCGCGCCGAGCTTACCTTGGCGCTGTGCGGCGCAGTGCGGGACTCGATCCCAGTCTCGGCTTGCTCTTCCTCCCTTCGGATCCCCTGCTCGCTGCCAAGCGTGACCTGAGCCACCGCCGCGCCCCGCCACGCCCCGCGCTGTGGTAGTCACGAGCAGGCAGATTGGCAGCGTGTGTCGAGGATGAGGCCAGCTCCTCCTGCTGTCTTTCCTCTCCCTCCACACACGAAGCAGGCTCTGCGGTTCCAAGAGAAGAATGAAGGCCTCGTAAAAGAAGTAATACGTTACTCGATATGTCCCATTTTGTTTTTCTCGGTTTTTCTGATCCGGGTCACCTCCGAAGCAGTATGTGCAACCTCCAATAGTTTTTAGGTTTAGATTGTCACTTTTTAGCAGATGATACCTTACTTCCTTACTTGTTTTGTTATTTACAATCCAACCACAGCGTGAAATTTTTTCAAGAAAATTCCAAGGCCAAGGAAATGCTTTGAAGACTGGAGACGGATAGGGGAAGGTAGCGGTGGAAAGAGGGGAATGGGGTAGTCTCTTCTCGTGATTATAAGACGACCCTGCTCGGACCTTGATAAATTATCGCTGCAAAACTATCAGCAAATTGGAAGAGTGAACCAAAGGATCGATGGCAGGGAGCCGCCAACCATCCCCACCACCCCAATTCCCCCGTCGCCCTTCTCTCGGGCAAGAAAACATTTCGCGGGAAATAATGCAAGGTGTTTCCTTTTGGTTCCCCGCCCCATTGAGACCTGTGGGTGTATCAGGGGCTGCAGCGCCGCGGTTGCCCCCAATCACATTACAGCCGAGCAGACCTGAATGTGTCGGTGGGCGAACGCAACGCACCTCATCATACGTGTTGGCTGCCCCTTTGTCTGAGTGGAACAGAAGGGGCTGTGGGATCGGGCCCGGCCGACGACCTGTCTCCCTCCCCCCCCCCTCTCTCTCTCTCTCTCTCTCTCTGCCCCCCAACCTCTCTTTCTCAACCGCTCCCCTACAGCCCACGGCCATCCATAAATAATGAATCCGTTTGTCCGGGCCATGGTCCAGTCTCGGCTGCCGTGCCTGCCTCCGCGGCTCGAAACGCGAAAGACGCCGTACTAGATGCACTTGTGAAAAATAGTTCGAGTGGATGGAAAGAAGAAAAATCGTTGATAACAGATCAGCGCATTTGTGCATTGATAAGTTCTAAAAACAATTTTGTCAATAAATCGCAACTGTATCGTTAATAACCCATTTATACCTATCAACTGAATGTTTTTGTCGTTAACAGCTAAACTAATTTGTTAATACCAATCTACAATACTTTTGTTACTTTATACCGTTGCGCAGAATTGCTCATAGCAAAGGAACGAAAACCATAGTAAAGAATCCTAGAGTGAAGCTTTTGCCATATAATAAACAGTGAAACACAGGTCTCCTAAATCTCAACCCACCATTATAACTGTGCCGGGGCCCGCAATGTGAGTCGCAGCTGCTATGTTTTTGTGCTCATTGCTGGAAGAGAAATTAATGTACTGTGCGACAGAGGACAGCATCCCTAGCATCCCTGGAATCACTGCCACCCTCTTCTCTTTTCACCCCCTGCCCTTGTTCCCCTCGTCGCGTGGCTGGCTCCTGGCTTCGCCAACAACAATAATTCCTGCGGCCTGTTGCCTTAATGAACGTGGTTCAAACTATATCCATGCACAGGTTTGTAGAGGTTCCGTAAGAATCGACAAATCAGCTTCATAGCTTGTTCATCAAAGTTAGTTTCCCCCCAAAAAATCACAAAATCAAGAAAAAGCTCGAATATGTGATAATAACATGTAGTTTCCGCTTCGCTGTGTAGTATTTGTGTACGCTATTATCGGGGAAGGCTCACACCCTGTGTATGTGTGTCTGTGTGTGTGACCCTGATGGCGCGATCAAGTTCAGTGACGCTCCAAGTGTGAAGCTGCATACTAAACGATGTTGTTTATCAACCTCCCATTCTCCTGCCTCCACCCGAGCGTGGCAACAGACATGGGGCCAAGTCCGTAACGATTAAGGCGGTCGCGAAAATAAAACAAAACTTATACGCGAATAACATCCACGTTGGTAGTGTGACTATGACATAAAAGGGGTCTTATTATCCTTATCAGTTTTTTTCTTTGCTTTCAGATGGTGTCGACGAAGTTTTGGACTACGTACCCAATTCGGACTAAAAGCCGACGGCCCACCATCGACTAAAAAGAGGCAAGTTGCAAAGCGTTGGAAGACTTTTCCCAAAACAATTAAGGTCCATCACAGTTCTTTATTAAAAATAAGGATGCATTATTTTTTGAGCTTCTCTACGCCATACGTGAGGAGTGTTGGAGAAAAACTAGATAGCATCGTGTTTTTTTATGCCTTAAAATTGTATTTCTTCCACAAGACGAAAATTCTCTCAGGTCGCACGTGTATTGTTGCTCTTAGCACCGAGAGTGGTACAGCTGAGTGAGCAGTTGATTGATTCCCCTTCAAAGGACCGACTATCTGTGCACATTTCAGAATGTTTGCAAACTAAATTCTTTGCAACTTCGTAAAGAATTCTTGATTATTATATTTAAAAATTAGTTTTATTAGTAAGAAATATGAAGTATTATGAAAGAAATATGAAAGGTTCAAAAAAATCTAAAACTGGGTCTGAGCTGAAAAGAAATTGTTTTCAGTCTGAAGCTTTACTTTGAAGGCATTTTGCAGAGCACTGAACTAGGCGTTCACACTGGATTAATTATTCACCTCTTTGAACACTAGCACCCTCCATAAGAAATATACTGTTTTCCCTTCTATACTATTAAACGGATTCGAGGTGTTTAAGCAGCGCAAGAGTTGTAATGTAGCCTTGAAAGTTTTCAAGTTTGCTGGCCGTGTAGCGCATCGTATTGAGGGGCACGTACCGTGGTGCTGGTGCCGGCTGGCGGCGGCCGGTCTCGACTGGCTGTCGGGGCGCTTGACATCAGTGAAGTGAGCCCCGCCCGGCTGCCCGGCCCGGCAGGCAGAGGCAGTGCAGAGCCAAGTGATCGCCGATATCGTTCGCGTTAGTAGGAGCGTAAGGAGCCCACACCTGCCCTGACCGCGCACCTGCTGTGAGTGAAAATGTAGCCATGTGTAGAATTTTTAATGATTTGTTCGAGGGGTCAACGACTTATCTAAGCCTTGTACGGAAATTGGTATTGTGAAATATTATTTGTCATTATGCAGCGTAACAGAGCATCAGGTTAGGAGCATTATAGCGTAGTATGGGGTGTGACGAAGTCATTTTCTGAATGTTTATTATATACTCTGAATTACTAGTCAAAGGGACGCTGACCGCAGTACAGCATGTTACATCCCAGTCTGAGCATGCCGAAGTGGTTAAATTTCGACGACAGACCGAAATCCAATCATCGTGATGCTGGGTAAAATCTGTTTCATTGTGTTCGTTTGAAGTTCTCTTTGACACGGTTCGCACGGTTCCCTTTTCATCATTCTGGTTGTCTCCTCGATGTCGAGTGTCCGGACCTCGTCCGGCGGCTCCACAACACCGCGTCGGCACGAGTCGCTCTGCTCTAATAGCGTTTTCTATCAGAGAAAAACAAACGTCAACAGTTCTTGTTAACAAAAATACTATGCCACTTTTAAGAGGAACACGTTATTGTAGTGCATTTCATAAGGCGTGCATATAGGTGGATAAAAGTTCATTTAATGCTAAAATCACGATTTTTACGAGTCCAAAGCAGGGTCGGTTCTAAGCCGGACGGGTGGGGGTGACCTACGCCGCCCCTAGTCCCTCCAGCTAAAAACCGCGACTGGTCCAAATAAACAGTTGACTATTTGTTTTCGCCACGGCCGCGCGAAAGGATCAGTAGTCAAAGTGTGCTTGAAACTATAGTTGCAACTACAGTCCCACTCACCGCGCCTCCATTGCGAACACGGAAAAAAATAATTCGTTGCTTCAACCCATGTTTGAGTTGATTTGGAGCTTGCAAAAAGAATTCGTTGTGGGAACAAAATATCCGTTGTTTTAATCAAGCGTTTGCTGGTAGAACGACTTCTTAGTTGTGAGAGCGAATAGATCGTTGACGAAGTGAATAAATCTGATTGCTGGAACAAAAGCGTTTTTAGTTGAATCAACGATCGCCTTCGCTCTCTCAGCGATGTGTTCGCTGCTCCAACGAATTTTGCGTTGCATTAGCGAACACTTGGATGAGACAACGAATTAGTTCGTTCTCACAACCCAACAGCGTTAGTAATTCCTATATCAACCTACGTATGAGTTGGATGAACTAATTATTTTTCTCCGTGAACCAGGCACGCCACTCTTGGTTATTGGCACGCTTGTGCGAGGGCCGCTGAGGTTCTCTTCCCTGCGAACCCTTAGTGCAGCGACCAGCTCTATCTAATCTGCCCACGCTTGGTGGTGGCGCGTTGCGCAGCACTTAGTCCCGTGTGGACTTACGCACTTACGATTGAGTGAACTCTCGGTGAGGTGTTGTTTGTTTTCCTATTATCTTGGAAGAGCTAGTCGACTTTCTTTCCCTCCCTCCCTCTCTCCCTCTCTCCCTCTCTCTCTCTCCCCCCCCTCTCTCTCCTCCCCTCTCTCTCTCCGATTTGGTTCGCCCTTTCGAATCTCCTTTCTGGCCGCAGAGGATGAGATATACTCTTAAAACTCAAGTAGTGACGTACAAGATCACTGTTGCCGGGCAGTTTCACACTTTAAACTGTCCGACACGTGGTTTATGAGTCAGAACTGAGGCACACACTTTCGCTTCCACATTTATAGCTGTGATACACTAGTAGTGTATCACACGTCTGCACGGCAGTACCGTAAGTGTTGCACTTTCGTCTCTGATACTTTACAGCACTTGAGTTAGAGAAACTATTCAATACACGAAGAATTGTTAATAATGGACACGCGCAGCCGAAACCTTCACTGCTACATATTTGTAACTTTGATAAGACCTGTAAGATAACCGGAGTGCGTGGGAATTTTTACAGACGCTTGTAAATTGACAGATGTTTTTCGCGAAAAAGACCTAAAAATCGGTTATTTTTCTGGTACTACTATTAATTTTACCACAGTATTTCGGTAAAACTAACGTGTTCTGTAAAATTACACCACAAATTCTGTACAAGATTTTAGGAAAAGGGTTTTTTCGGCTAACAGACGAAGAAAAAGAGTTGGTAGAACGTAAAGGTTCATAATTCGTCGAGCATTTACTCCCACTACCGAAAGGGCGTAGAGGCGGGAATCTCTCGACCACCACCCGCTCTTCTCCTTCCTCCGTTACTCGTAATTCACTATTGGTGAAAGCGCCAATTTTGTTTACAGTGTAAAAGTTCTAATTTTACAACAGAGAGCACTCCGGATTCGTCCTTATGCCTCGCATCAAAAAAAGACAGAAAAGTAATGTGACAATGAACGATGTGCGCTCATGTTCTTATCTACCGACTACATCGGTTTCCCATCGCGTTATCATCACCTCATAGACACCGCCGCGGTTCTAAAAGGAAAGGCGCCTCCTTTCTTGTGCGTGGCAGGTGCAGTGAGCGGGGCGGTAAGCGCCAATCAGAAATTCATGGCCCGGCGTTGTCTCGCGCTCCAAGGTAAAGGTCTTGGCGGTGTCTCGGGCACGCCCCGCCACTCCTCGCGGCGGGGCGTAGCGGGGCACGGGCAGAGTGGGCGCGGCGAGGTGGGTTTTGTAGGTGTACCCTAACCGCGTTACCCAGCCCGCCCGCCTCCCCGAGGGCCCGCGGGAAGGGCCGCCTGCAAGTCGGGGGTGCGGGGTTAGGTTAGGGTAGGGGCACAGGGGTATAGAGGGGGTTTCTCATACAGCCACCCCCCCCGGCCCGCCTGCCTGCAGCCCGCTCTCTCTCCCCGCGCAGCCTTGCTGCCTTTCTCCTCTGACAACATCTTGACTTTCGGGAACATCTTTGCGCACCCCTCCCCCTCAGCTGTGCCCCCAGGACCCCCCACCCCGGCCCTGCGGTTAACGGCAGCAATGTCGTATTATACTTTGAGCGAGGGTGCTGGGGAGAGAGTCCTACCAGCGGTAATGTCTGCCGCGGTGGAGAGCAACGGGTCCGTCAGTCCTCGGTTGGTCGTGCCGCGCCCGCCCACACCTGCGCTGCGACCGTCGGAAAGCGAGATTAATAAGCATAACTTCCAAGAACAAACCCCCTTTTTTTGTCGACCACGTCGCGGCCCTTCCGGACAACCGGACGTCCTGCCGTTATTGTCGCAGTGTTGGCCACCAAAAGTAATGCGTTGCGCTGCTCTTTTCTCTGAAAAGCCGGGGGAGGTATGTAAAAGAAGCGCGCGAGTCGTACCGCCGTGCCTCCACACCGTGAGCACCGCACGCGGGTTATTGCAGAAAGTACACGTACCCACCTCGCAGCTCCTTTGGTCCCTGCTCGTTTCTGCTCTCCCTTTCAATCTCTTGTTTGCGCTGCGCTCCCTTAGAAATGTGCGCCCCGCGGCCTTAACACGTTTAATAGACGCCAGCAGCTCGCGCGAGTGTCGCAGCGCGCAGCGCCCCGTGACAAATATACTTTGGGGAAATCCCACTAGGCGAAAGGCGCGGGAACGGGGCGGCGCCCGCCGACTCGAGGGGTCGCTGAGAGACTCCCTGATCCGCTACCTTCCAGACGTCGCCATTGTTTCTCATCCTCAATCTCGTCCTCTGCGATCACCTGCTGGAACGGATAGATTGGGGAGGCCGAGGCTGTGCTCCCATTCCCCCCTTCCCCCCTACCCCTTTCGCTCCCCCCGCGCCTGTCACTCTACCACCTCTCCCACCTCTTCATCTCCTTCGTCTGATCCAGGTGGTCTGATGGGTTCTCGCTTTTCTGGCCCCAATTTCCGCCACGTGTTTCCGCCGCCCCCACGACCGCGCGTTGCACCGCCCGGGCTGTTAGCAGGGCGGCGCGGGGCGGCGGAGCCTGCTCACAACCCGTCTTGAAGATAATGTCGGGATTCCGCAGCGAACGGTTTCAGTTTCCCTCTCTCGCTTCTCCAGTAATTGTCGTCATGGAAACATTACGGCAGCATAGCATTCCGGCGGCGGCAGCGTCGTCGTTTCAGCGTCGCTAACGGTGTTTCACAGATGAATGAGGCCGCCTGGATGCGGAGCGGGCTGTGGCGGCGCGTGGCGGGACGGGGAGGGCGGGAGCCAGGCAAGGGGGTAGGATTGGGACCGCCAGGGACCGAAGGGCTTAGTCCAGCCCAGCCCGGGTAGGCTCCAGCACATACGGCTTAGGACGTACAGTCGCCTGGGCACTTCCGGCACCGCGCCGTCCCACCTGGAGCGACTATTGCCTTTGCCTCCCTCTCTTTCTTTTTTGCTCTTCGTCCCCTATTTCACTTGTGTTTAAACGAGAAAAGATTTAATGGATTAGTGTCATAACCGCCTCAGTGAATGCATGGAGGTAGAGGTGTTATACCTGCACGTCCACTTTCTTTCCTACTGCTGCCGCAATCAAGGGCCTTTTCTATTATGTGCGTACATCCTAAGAGTTATTCGTAACCAAGATATACGTCAGACCGTGTCTAGCTTAACAGGCTTGGCAATATCTAGCTGTCGCGCTGAAAGTTAATACGAAAACTCGATTCAAGAAATAAGCGAGTAGGCTCCTGAAAAATAACAAAGCGGATACCACTTGCAGTACCACTGCTTGTAATCAAGTAAATGCCGACTCTTTCTTTAAAACACAAATGTGCACCTTTTGGCTAATAACAATCATCACGAAATTTCAAAATATCCATGATTAATCCTAATAACCAACCACTATACTTAAAGAATGTCTAATACTAGTACGCACTTTTTTCAGTGGTATACCCTTGGCTGCAATTTACCATTGCGCCTCATACTTGTTATTCTGGGAGTAGAAGTTGGCGTCCTTGGCCTTGTATCGGCGATAACCATCGGCATTTCGCCGAGCCGAGCGCAGCTGAGTGCCCGTTGGAATCCTGAGCCCGAGGCGGAAGGAGAAGCTGAAAGCCCTCCTTAGGAATGGTGCAGAGCGCGCCCCGGTGCAGCAGCGAGCGAGGGGCAGACATCATCGGCGCGGGTCAAGGAGTAAGGAGAACGCTGGAAGGGTACGAACG